AACTGTCAAACCGATAATAATAAAGCCATTTTTTGATACTTAGGGAGCAAATTGAAAACGGAGAAACTGGTTGTACATATATGAAACACATATTGAAATTATTTTTTTTTTATTTTAAGGGAAAGCATAGATGGAATAACATTGAGTGCATTAATGGAGAAGTAGGATTTAAAACTTGTCATTTAAAAAAAAAATGACAAACAAAAATATTGATGCGATATGTATAGCAGTAAAACAGAAAATACTTATAAGCGAAACGTTTTTAATTTTATGTTCAATGAATTGAGGCGCGAACTGGGTAAGAATGACAAATCACATAAATGTCCCACGTGTTTGGATTCATAATTACATACTACATACAACACTTTTTTACAATACAAATACGAGGGAAATAATCATAGACATTAAAAGTTAACTGCGCACTAGGAGCAATCGACTACATTCAACCAGAGGATTGATCCCCGTAGGACGGGTCTATGATCGGAGCTACTACACCAAGCGCGACATAGCTGCTTGCAAGGGATTCAGTTGGACTGATTTGGTGAGATTGTTCCTTTTTTCTACTTTTGTCTATTTAAACTTAATTTCTATGAATGCGTATCGTTTGGAATCATTTGATTCGGATGAGACTCTTAACTTTTATTTTTTTACATTGTGTTTCAATCGGTATTCTTAAGAACTTCACAAATCCAAGTATAATGCATGATAACACTGATTCATTTAAAACCATGGTCGCATCACTTATCAAGGTGAATCCTGATCCAACGAACCCAACTTACTAACAATATCTCCTTTCCTGTGTCTTTTGTTGGGGTGCAGAGGTAAACACGGCCCACAAACAACAAAGGTCACTCTAATATTCCTTCCCTACTCCCACCTGATTGCAAGGACGTGGCCGGCGCCGTTATTGATCTACAAAATATAGAGTCACTGAAACTTGTACAATGAGAATGGACGGTCACTCCCAGCCCCATTCAATTGATTAATTGTACAATTTCACTGATTCTGATCAATCACGGAGTAGCAACCATTGATATGTGCAGTCAATCTAAGCTAAGCTAAGCTATATTTTATTTATTTCATGTAATTATTGCAAATAATAGTTATTCAATAATAGAATCCATATATTCGTACTTTGACGCGAAGCGCTGTGGATTATAAGATGCTCGATGACCCTCGAGGGATCGATTTTGCTTACTGAGCAGAAAATCATGGATTTAACCCCAAGCTCTTCCACAGCACAATAAATCGCCACCATCATTTGTATATTTGATATTGAACATTAACCTCGGAAACTATTTGCATATCAAGCGAAAACGTAGTCCTGTATTGTCGCGAAGCGTTATGGTTCTGAGATGCTCGATGACCCTGGAGGGATCGTTTTTACTTACTGAGCAGAAAATCATGGGTTTAATCCCAAGCCCTCCGTCATGACTCTTAAAATTCATTATCACTAAACAAAATTAATATGTTCTTTCGATAGCCGGCTATCGAGAGATTAAATAAACAACAAATAAACAATACATACTTTTGGTTGCATCGCCAACTTGAGGTGAATCCAAACCGAATACCCTACCCAACCCTCCAACTCCGTAGCACTTATGAGGGTGTCGCTAAGTCGGTGGCCTCTCGTTAAGTAAGTACTACATCAACATTTCCTTCCCTATCCCTAGTTATGGTAAAGATGGGCGTGGCCAGGAATAGCGACAGTCATGCTTCTGTTACTCTTGTTTAGATTGGAACCAATGTTTACTCCTCAGCATTATTCCTGAAAGTAATCTAACTGAGATTTTCAGAAGAGACGTGAGTGTCGCTAGTATCCAATCTACGAAGTATATCATAACAACGCTAACGCTAACGCTAACGCTAATTCTTTTCAAAAACTGTCAACGTATAATATGGACAGTCGAAGATAAATTGTTTATTTGAGTCTAAATTTTCGGTTTCTGATTTCACCAATTAGGACCCACATGGCCACTGGGAACTAAGGTTAATGATATTAAAATTATATTTTGTATTTGCAAGTAACAAGAAGAGGTTGTAAAGTTTCTGTTTGATACATAAAACCTGTCAATTTCGCTTTATGAGAGTCGCAATAAGCGATTTTATCATTTTCTCTCACCCGTTCTTCATTCTTGATTCTTCGCGAACAGCGATCAGAAAATCACTGATTGTGGCTCTTTGACAGCAAAATTGGCAGGTTTTATGTGTACCACACATTCTTTATTACCTCTTCTTGTAACTACACCGTTTGAAAAAAAAAAAATCATTAACATTTCTGCGATACATAGCGCACACGGTATTAACCCTTGATTTAGTAAATTTACACCATATTTCATTTAAATTTAAGCGTGATTGCGCATAATCAGCAGTTTTGCATACAAAGCTTGTAAACAGTTTCATTTTTTATGCCGACTATATCTTAAAATTAAACCATGGAGATATTAAGCGATGGTTAAAATCCAGATTTTTTATCTGTGTAGTAACTACAGAATATCATTATAACAACTCAGTGTCAACATTTCAAAGGGGCGTAATTGCATTTGTAAACAATGACTTTAGTCATCGATTTCTTGCGAATAAAAGCTTACTCATGAAGATTAATGAAACCAGCAGGTAGATGAATGTTTCCTTTAACAGCTAGCATTATTAAATTTATTCAAAGCATATTATTGACAAAATTACTTGGAGTTGAGCTTGTCCAAGTAATCAAAACGAAAATGAAATTGCGTCCTGGCAACGGAATTTCTTACGATTTTTTATTTAGTTCACTTCAAGTCTAGTGACCTAAACAACCTTAAGCCCTAGCTTGAGCTTTATGCTTCATGTCCGAGTGAAGTGGGAACACTTCAGGAAGACTGGAGGAAATTTCCACAACCTCACCCAGTGACGTAATTGCCAAGGATGGGGTCACGGTTCCAAAAATTGCTACAGGCATGAATTGTGGTGATTCCTCTCACACTTTTTGGTTTTTTGTCCTGTGAAGGACGATCCCAAAAAATTGTTCAAATTGTGGTGAAAATCACAAATCCAATGTTTGGGGTAAGACAACATATCGGAATTTTGATATTTTGACTTGCATTGCTTACATTACAGCATTATTGCTCCTTAAATGGATTTTTTACAGAATTCATTAATTGATATGATTACTGATATGCTGAAAACTAACTCCATGTTTGATGCTATTCAAACTGGAGTTTATCTTGCGAACAATATCGTAATGAATTTGAAATTTAGTAATGGATTTTAAATCATTAAATATTCATAACGTCCAAATCGCCGTTATAACTGCAACGTTGCTTATACCTGACTATATGGTTAGCACATTATTTCATTTATCGAAATAATCGTCTTGATTGAGCCTGTGGAGGCGTTGCCATCATTGTTCATAGACATATCAAACATCAAATTATTTCTTCGATAGAAACCACAGTTTTTGAAACTTTGAAGTTTCGGTCGAAACAAAATGTGGACAACTTACATTTATAGCTGCCTATTTACCATTCCAAAGGGTTGCCACAAATCTGATCTGATCTCTTCTTATTTACAGAAATGAAAGATTTCTTCAAACACTTCCAAAACTCATCTTATAATATTTCCACATAAGCCTAGAGCTTATGTAGTATGCTTAGTATTGTGATAAAGTCGATTGTGGCCACGGGAACCGGTATCCGAAACATTTGCGTTAAGTTCAATCGTTCAGAAAATAATCAATTGTCTTCAAAGGCATTGTTTCTATCTTGTTTAGAAGCAAAAGAGAACCGTAAGTCTGCACTCTATGCACAAAAGAGGCAAAGTCATGCGTCCAGATTCTCTATTTACAAAGTTATGAGTATTTGAAAGTTAATTTCGAGTCATATTGACCCTAACACCTAAAGAAGGATAATGAAGTTGATCTATAGTGTATCTGTTGAAACACTAAATCACTTCTGAATACAGCACTAAAATCGTTCATAGCAGCCCTCTGATCGCATTCCTTTGAGGTCAATAAACCAGTAACTCGCCGCCGATGGCAAAAGGTCATCTGGATCAGGAAACCAAACATTTCTTAGAAAAGGAATCCCCTTTTGTTTCCAATCGTAGCATTTTGTTTGCCTATTGCAAACATGCACTCTTTTCCGATATATTAAATTAGCTGAATCGATGCATACCCGAGTCAACAACGTGCATGAATACAAATTGAGTTGGCGCTGCTGTTTCTTTCTTCTTTCACGTTTTGCTCAGAATCAAACTGAATTGTTAGCGGAAACGGTGCAAAACCGAAAAAAGAAGCCTATTCAGATGAAGATGGGAAATCGAAACAATCGCTGCAAAAGCTTTCATTCATGGAATAGAAAAAAAAACAACAACCGATTGAAGAAGGAAACAACAATCTGCAGACCGAAAGTAAAAGCGAATCAAGAAGGAAATAATATTAATAAACGTACCAAAGTGAGCGCGAATGTCCTAAGGTCTGTAGGATCAGTCCAATGATCGCATTTTCTAGAAAGGGTTGAAGCTATGGCATACCATGTAATACGCCGTTTCGCAAACTTAGCGCGAGATGTGACCCTTTTGCAATCCTTTCGGATACATGGGCTAAATAATGGAGAGAACAGATTTATCCAACAATTGCATCATGGGAATCGAAAGGATGAGTTCTTCCACCTTGTTCCGGGCTGGTGCCTTCCAGGCTTATCAACAACGTTAAGCCAACATAATCGAATTGGAATTCTGGCCCCGAGGGCCATCGGGACCGAGCTAATGCACGAACGGTTTCACTATTGAACTGGCTAGCCAGTAAACAAACTTGATCGGATGTAAAATATCAATTCTTATGCAACGTGCGCCCGAGTTCGCAGAAAGTTATGCAACTTTGTTTGCAGATTTATGGAAATTGATTCTGCAGGGAATTTAGTTCGGGCAGGCGATTTTAAGCCATGCTAGGTACTGGGCTGGCAGTAGTGGGCAGTGAACTTGCAATGACTAATGAAAGTTATGCGAATAAATTGGCTACTTACCGATGCGACAATCATCAGGTAGTATCGCTGAATGCGCTCGTAATCCAACGTTTTAATGACGGTGACCTGTTGAATATGGGAGAGAAAAACTCGTGATAAATATGGTTGATAAGAGGGTATAAAAATGTCACATTTTATTCCAGCGGCATTGGTGCGATTTCGGCATTTCGTAGAATTGAATGAGTCAGTAAAAAGCAACGAGATCAGCTCGCGACTATTTGGGAGTAGCGACAATCTGCAGATTAAGTGTTCATTACCTAATTGCAGGATTATGCAGATATAGTGGACATCTGTTGGAGGGAAAGCTTCGGGCTCCTTTGAAGTATTTCTTTTTGAGATAATTTGATCTTCCATCGTTGTTCTTTTAGGTATCATGTGTATAATAGAAAGAAACCCGAATTTCTGCAGCATTTAATCTCATTCCGTTTGAAAGATTCCATAAAAGGGGGATGGTGGAAAGTTGAGCATTTATTACTTAAAACATAATCCTAGCGTTCACAATCATAAGGGCCTATCTGCGATGATCTATTTTCTCATTTAATGTAAAAAAATGAGATAATAGAGTTAATTGATAGTTGAATATGTGTCAGACAACAACCCCAATTTCATCACAGCCTTGGCAACCACAAGTTATTTTTTCAGCGTTCGGACAACTAAAAACATTTAAAAAAAATCCTACAGTAATGTGCTATAATCTCCACATAAACTTCAACCTATTTGCGCGACCTATAAACCTTCAACAATCTTTATACAGTTTTTGTACAGACTCATATTTTGGAGTAATGCATCAAACTGGGTGGCCTATAAGTTTTCTGACACTGTTTTTTTTTTCTTCAAAATTAAACACACTAACCTACACAAATTTGGACTAAGAGATAATTGTAGAAAACTGTCACTAACATAAAAAAAAAAACAAAAAATCATTGACGCACTGATAAAAAAGAAAGAAGTTACATCCAAGACACCTTTTCCGATAGCAAAACTACACATTTCCTTGTACAAAATGGATGGAATTTTTGGTTTATTCAATAGATAATAAATAAAACAAAAATTGATTGTAGGAATTTCTTGCTGAAATTTTCCAATCGTGAGATATGCGCGATCAATCATATAAATTCGAGATTCGTTTCCACTTTTCTAGTGTTCTGGAGAAAACTCTACCTTAATTCGAAGTGTTTCTGGTTGATTGACAAGATCATGTGGTATTCGGACATTGCAAGTATTTTTATGTACCACTTCAATATTGTTACGCATTTGACCACAAACGGGTGCATTATAAAAGAGCTTTGGGGTGGATGTGGCTGGCAGCAAGGCATGTTGGTGAAAATAACTGTTTTGTCGTTATGGTTGAGTAACGCTGAGCTATTAGGGTGTTAAACACGGATGAGGCTGGTGAGCTGTATGTTGTTTGGAACGAGGTCAACGCGCTTGGCATAGATGGTCCACAGCGGCTCAGGACGAGCAACTGAATCTGATCAGTAGCGGTGCGGCTATTCCTCCTTCTTCGGTGAATCGAGAACTCTTGTGGGCAGCCTTGATAGCTAGCTGCATGCGGGGAGCCTTTCGTTGTGTACTGAAGAAAAATGTACAATGCCACGCGCCGAAAGCACTGCTGCTGCTGCTACTGCTAATGACGACCGGACACCACCACTCAACAGAGGCGGTGATTGAATAAACACCGTTCGGCGAGACTGGGTGGAATTTGAAATCTGTGTTAGGGAAAGTGCTTTTCGTAGTCAATCGTCCCTCTGTGTGCTTTGCTTGCACAGTGAATACATCATTCAACTTTTGATATAAATTTTAGTTGGGACATGTACAGAAATTTAACTCTTTTGGAAAATCTTGGTGGCCCTGAAAAGGGCCGATGGTAGTACCATAGAGACTAGTACGTCCCGAAGAAACGTGCTCAACTTTTTGGCTCAGCTCTGGTACTATCTTCGGTCCCAAGCTAATCGATGCACCCCCTGAAACATAGGAAAATCCACGAACCCCTCATTTTATCTGTCAAACTTTCATAGCAAATGTAAACAAACATTGTGTAGTACTAGAATTTCGACTAGAATGGGATACGTTAATCGATTTGCTTGGGACCGATAGTCTAGTCAAGTAGTGAGCCAATTTAAAATCGTTAGTTTCCACCGGTTGGTAGTACAGGCTTAAAGCCTTTGGAAGATGATTATGATGTGTAGGCCACTAGATCAGCAAATCGGACCGGATAATTCCATATTCTTCGGTTCAATGATTGGGCACTCGAAAGAGTGTCGGCCCGTCTGCTGCTGGACAGGGGTTAAACTGTTGTCAAACATGTTTCGCCTGAAACGATTCTCTGATGACTGTGTTGGGGAAGCAGCATATGCATGTACGTAATTTATGGATTTGTTAGTTATTTCGACGCTTTTGGACAATGCTTGACATTTACCACTTATACAAAAGTTTCTTGTTGAAAATCAACAGTTGGAAGCATTGTGATGTGTAGAAATATTTCTGATCGATTGGTGATAAAACTATTGAAATTGGTCCAGGGGCAGCTGAGTTACTAACGTTGAAAATCTTCCATAATTTCGTTACATGTTCCATTTTCGGTTTACACAAAAGGAACCCCCATGTAAAAATCACAGACGTAGTCCGACATCAAAAGTGTCATTGAGTGTGTTGAACGTAGCTTGTTGTAAATTTCGATTTATTTCAGCAATCGTCGTAATTATCCAACTCGGCAAGCCTCGTACTGAAAAAATCTTCATTTTGCAACCTGATGCATACAAAACTATTTCGAAACCACATAGTTTTATTAAGGTTTTTCATAGAGTAATATTGACGACGCTTGTATGTAACCTTGATATAACTGTAGGTAATGGGAAATGATTGGCATGTAGGTTCACTGCAGGTATTTTATAGCATTATCTGAATGCAAATCACATACCTTGTTAACTATTTTGTGTCAATTTATATTTACATTGAGACACATCGTAAAAACTCAAGTCGAATGTGATTTCAGAATGACGTATAAGTCATTAGTAGCCATGCGATGAACATTCCCATCACAGCAGGCTCCTCTAAGTATAGTGTCTTTATTGGAGTGCATTTCAAACGCAGCAGCCTATGACATTTATTGTTCAAAGTCAGTGTGTGGTCAAAAGCAGTGTATATTCAGATTGCGTAGTATTTTGCACACAGTACGCTCAGATTGCATCAAATGCCTGATGCGAAGTACACCTCTAACATACCGCTTTTAATGACCAATCTCACTTGGATTCAACGATGACAGACTTCAATTAGATCTCTACCATTCGATAAGTGAATTTTAAACTTTACACTTTCCATTTCTACAACGCCCACTGATCCGGTCCTAGATCCGTTGGCGGATTGTTTGCGGTAATATATAACCGTTGGAAAGAAATCTTAAAATCGCACCGGGAGATTTGTGTTAATTGAAAATTTATTAAGTACCGATAGCCTCGATTATGACACCAACCGACTTTTTTATCTTAATCTTTCCGGGATGGCAAGCAGAGATATCATGACGGGTAGTCTACCATTTACACGTTCAAGTGTTTCCATCCACCCACTTGTTAGATTGGCACGAGTTGGTTCTAACCTGACTTGCCTCAACAACATACGACCAGTCGTGTTAAATGCTGATTGTGAAATGGTAGGTACTGAGCAACGAACGCGGTGAATTGTCCCGGTTACCCTCTGTCATCGTCATCACCGTTTGAATGGGTTTAGTTTAGTTTACTAGAGCTGCTGTTTATATTGGTTGTCAACATTTGGTAAACCGAGTGCACCTCTCGAACCTTGGGATCAATTAGCTTTATGGATACATATAACCTGATACTGCTCGCTGCCCAGTTCACAGTTGAGGAACGGAGTTGGCGGACATTCTCACGTTTCACGACCGCCATTGATTGCGGCGCTGGTAGGTATATTAGTTTTATTATTTTGGAGCACTGCTTAGGATTTACTGCAATGCTTGGAAATCAATTGAGCGTATCTTTTTCATTTTTATGTGTTAGCATGAGGGAAGTTGGAGGATTTTGTTTCATCTATGTTTATTAGCAATGGAATGAATTCACAATATGCTGACTATGTCTCGTGAGGAATTCTGGCTTCCGCCGACCTCCCATATTTTAATAATAGTAAATTTTAGCATTTTTTGATAATTATATAAATTAAAGCTCGTTATGTTTATAAATAGATTTTTTAATTCAAATGAAAATTATGAATCATGATAAAAATAACAAAAGATGACTTCGATACTCCACAAATTCATGGATCGTTGGCATGTACAAATTAAAACCTATGCTATAAATTGACATATCATTTAAGTTTGACTTGAAATTAATCGTTTGGAGTATCGAAGACAGTATTTGTATAAACACCCCCTGTCCAAATAACTCATAACTTTTTCATCAACTTTTAGCCGAAATCGTATTATTTTCTAAGTTCCTTCAACAATGATGCCAGCAAATAAATACCTGTCCTTGATGCGGGTAGGCAATCGCGAACACTCCGTATCCGTCAGCTGCTGTGAGCGTATCCGGTGAGATATCCGAGATGTTCTGCTGTGAGCCTTCAATCACAAAGTACTCAACCAGGCCGTTGACACCGGCGTCCTTGTCCTGGGCCAGAACGTTCTTGAAGATGGTCGTACCGACCGGTGTGGACTGCAAAGACAACGGTAATGAGTAGAAAAACAGAAATTAAAATAAACACAATAAATCATATCGGGTTCTAATAATAGCGCACGGGAAGAAATATTTAAGTAATCTTTCATGCTCTCATCTCTTGTACGGAGTGGAGGTTTACAAGCGCTCTTGCTAGTGGCAGAAATAAATTATACAAAAGTGGACTCCATAAGGTTGTTCTAGGTATGCGGGACATCCCTCTGAAAAGGAAGAATCATTATCATCATCATCATCATCATCATCACGGTGGCGTTGGTCGTGGCTGCTGGAAGCCCTTTTCACTCAACACGTCGTGATTTTCTCTTGCATACCCGTACGCTCAAAGATGAGGCATCTTTCTCAATTAATCATTTCACGCTGCATAATTTCTTCAGGGGTTATGCAAACAATTTTACCAGCCATCCGGCTCGTCTAGGATAATGTGGTCGTGTCCAGGAGGGTTCGTCGTTTGTTTTTGTTCTCAAGGTGAAGACTTGATTGGAACGTTAAAGCTGGTGCCTCATTTAGCGAATCTTGAGTGATTAGTTTGACTGGAGTACAAAAGGGAGTGACAAGCTAAATAGGTTGGATCAGCCAAGAATGATTATGTTGAGGAGCTATTCTGCAATAGATTTGGGTCACTCATTAATCTTCGTTCCCTTGGCTACAGACAAGTTTATTGACCATAAATGGTGTTCTAGCGTTCTAGGTGCAATTGTAGAAGATAAAAATTCACATATGCCTACAGCTAAGCCAAATCAGTCTTTTATTATTGCGCGTTCTTTGTGAACGATTTCATATAAAAGTTTTCTGCTTCGTAATGTTAACAGGGCTGATTGAACGAGATTCCAATCAACTCGTTGCAGCAGTATTAAAACATGCCATAAAAATGCAAGGAATTTCCTCCGCTATGTTGACGCATCGCTTGAGAAAACTGCATATTCACTTTCCAGGGCGTTCGTTCGTCTTTCATATTCTCACCATCATCATCATCATCATCATCATCGTCGTCGTCATCGTGGGGTTGAGGATCAATGCACTGAATAGAATTGCTATCTTTCCTTTTGCAAACTGACATCATATGATGAGATGTCAGTCTTCTTTCCTTCACTCATCTGCGTCGTCTGCTTTCATTTGTAAACCGTTACTGTTGTTGCTGGCAGATTTGCAATCAACTGGAGCCTTCATCATTTATCACGAGCTCTTTGAATGGGCATCCTAATGAGGTTATGAACTCAGGCTAGATCTGGATCTAGGTCTGACAGATGATTAGAAATGGTTTGAGAAAAGTTACTGGTCGGGAAATGCAATTTTTTGCAAAACGAGTGGAGGTCAGAAACATAGGTGGTCGATCGTAATCAGAAAGATGCGGAAGGCGTCTAAATTTAACTTTTTTTAAGTGATTTTATCCGATTATGATTTATCGTTCTACATTTTTGTATTCTTTTGTCGTTGCTTAAAAACCAGCGCGCGATATTGGACGGAATGCTTTGCCGCTGTGTTACTTTGACGAACTTGGTGTTTGTATGAGAAAGCACAAAAGTTCCGGAAAATTTCCTTGCTTTGGAACAATTCTCCGTGCATTTGCTTTTGCTTTTGATAGCCAATACAACCTTTTACCATACTGTATTGAAAAATGTACAGGAAAATGCGAGGAAAAAAGACTAACTTATTTGTAATACCTCAAAGATAAAATCAATGAAGAAAATCTGTCATATTAGTTAGGTCCTCATGGTTATGAGTGCTAGAATATTTTTTAATTTATATACAAAATATCAAACTCACAATGTACTAAGGCAGTGTTTTTTTCTGTTTCTACTATGTTAACAGAATCAGCAGTGACACCGTGCATGAAAAAGAGTAAGATGAAGAATTCGAGACAGAAAACTTTAAAAATCTCAAATCTAACGCTCACTTTATATCAATAATGTTGTCTGCCAATGCATTATTCAATTATATCTGTCGATTTAGTATGTTTTATTTGAAGAAACAATTTAATTACCCGATTAATTAGTGTATTTCATCAAGTTTCATCAATTTTATAAGCCGATTTAACAGTTGACTTAATCTTGTCCATCGTAAAACAACTGAATGAACCGATTAACTACTCTATTTCGTTTGGCTTCATCAATTTCGTATGCTGATTTATTTGTCGACTTAATCTGTTTCCATCGTAGAAACAATTTAATAAACTGATCAGCCAGTATATTTCGTCTGGTTTCATAGAAGCCCTGCTACAACTCTGTAATCCTACTAATCGTTCGATTTGGTCGCTTCTGGTTGACTGATTTCCTATGTTTTCGACTACCGATTTCGTGTGCTGACTGACCGTGTCCTCTTAAGCAGTCCTATAATAGTCGATGCAACAATTTATAAAAACGTCGGTTTCATAGTCGGTCTATCTTTCCGACGTGAACCGATTTAGTCGAAGGGAAAATCGGGATGATTTTTTATGGGGATTGTTTTTATTTCTCTAGAATTCTGACTCTAGGAATTTTTCAAAAGCAGCAGAATCCATAAAATTTAAAAGTCTCAATTTATTATCTAGTTCATTTATTTGAAAGGCTCAATCGCAATAGCTTGACGGAGCAGATAATTCATTGTTCATTATTTGCAACAAAATTCACTTAATTGTATGCCTAGTATCAATTTTGCCGAATACTTGCGGCTTACCCGAGGTTAGAGGGTTACATTGTCGAAGGATAGGATTAAGAGAGGAGCTTGGAAGTGGGGTTTCGTTCTCTTATCAGAGCGTTGTCACCAGTTGGTAGCGCGGTTCTAGATTCAACTTGTGTGGCTGGAGTTCGACTTTGTGTGGCAACCACTGAGAGACGATGAGACTCATGGACCCCCCGTCATAAACAAAAAACTTATAAAGAGAAACAAAAGAAGTTTCAAGCATTGAACAATTTCCAAAAATTAGGTGTTTCATACTGTTCCTTACAGCACTCACCACCTGAGGGCGAGCTGCCATCATTGGTTGATGGAAGATCGACTTCAGAATGTATAGAGAAATTCACTATTTATTATCGATAGTAATAAGAAACATTTGTATAGAAATCGGTGATTTTCTGAAAATCTCTATATAGCAACAATTTATTAATAATGATAATCAATTATTCGCCCAACGCAACAAACAGGAAGCAGCAATTTTTGTTTTCCTCTGTTCGGGACATAACACCACTGCGACCAGTAATTTGATGTATTGTAGTATATCCCGTGTCCTAAGTTTGGTGCATGTCGTATTGCTCCATCACTATTGAGAAATGATGAAGATTCTAATTGAAAGGTCCCCCTATTTATACCCTTCAAAGAGTGTGAGCACCCTCCAAAGGCGCGCCCCTTTGTCAGTCAAAATTGGATTCCTTAACAACAAAAACAAGCTATGACACCGATAATGACCATGCATCTGACCCCTAGTCTTAACCACTTCAAACTATGGAACAACGAATAGAAGATTAGGAATCACTTGGATGAAGACTAACTAACTCATTTTTTCCATGTTTCAAGATCATCCTCGGTGGACTAAGTCGAGTCTTGTCATTATCAACAAGGCATAAAAAGTAACAAGGACTAAGATATGTTCGTTTGATTACTGAAAATTCCTGTTCCCCTTCTTTGAAGTATTCAAGGCTAGGAATCGGTGGTAGATCTTACATCCCGTAACGTACCACGAAAAGGTATCTACCCACGTTACGGGGCAAGCAGCAATTTTATTACAGTATGTATTGTGTGAGCTAACATGTGTGCTCTTAAAATTTCAAAAGAAGGCTTCCTCAGAGGTTCACTTGAAGTAAATTCGTAAGTGAGTAACGAAGAGAGTCAAATGTTGACGATGCAGGAATTATGAAAAGAGGGCATTCGAAAAAAATCAATTCTAATTATCAGTAGAGTTCCGTATGCTGCCGATGCTGCCGAGTTACAGGACAAAGAGAACTTTTACAGTCAACTGAATGCAGTCGTGGATAAAATTCCGAGAGGTGACATCAAGATCTACATCGGCGACTTCAATGCGAAGATCGGCTCCGACAACACGGATTATGAGCGTGTCATGGGGCGCCATGGTCTTGGCGAAATGAGCGAAAACGGTGAGCTGTTGGCAGAGTTTTGTGGCAATAACGACATGGTGATCGGGGGTTCGCTCTTCCCCCATCGACCAGTGCACAAAGTCACGTGGGTTTCCCGTGATGGACATACCGAAAATCAAATCGACCACATCTGCATCAGCCGAAAATGGAGAAGGAGCCTTCTTGACGTTCGGAACAAACGCAGTGCCGACATCGCGTCTGACCACCATCTCCTCGTTGGAGAGATCCGCCTTCGTATCGCGCGGGTCCAGCGGCGGGAGGAGCGGCTCGGACGGCGATTCAACACACGCCGATTGGAAGATCCAGCAGTAAAAAGGTCATTCGTCGAGGAACTGGAGACCAGAGCTGCGGATATTCCTGATGGTGGCAGCGTAGAAGAGCAATGGACGGCGATCAAGGATGCCTTTACTGAAACGAGTGAAAACAACCTGGGCGAGCTGCGCGCTCAGAGAAAGGAGTGGATCACGGATGACACCTGGAGGAAGATAGAGGAGCGGAGAAATGCAAAAGCCGCGATAGAGCGGGCGAGAACCAGAGGAGCGAAGAACCAGGCCCGCCAACTGTATTCGGCTCTCGAGAAGGAAGTGAAGCGCTCGTGTAGGCGGGATAAGCGAGCGTGGGTGGACTCCCTAGCCGATGAAGGTGAGAAAGCCGCAGCAACAGGCGATATCCGTCTCCTCTACGATATCTCACGACGCCTGAGTGGAGCAAGGATGAATCCTAGGATGCCAGTGAAGGACGCGACTGGTCAGTTGCTCACCGACCCCACTGATCAGCTGAAACGCTGGTTTGAACACTTCGAACAGCTTCTACAAGTTTCGTCGGTCAACCAGCCATCAACATCTCGGCATGAACCGCCAAGAGTGCGACGCATCACTCGCGTCAATTCTGAGGCGCCATCCCTACCGGAGA